TATTTTAGCCCCAGGTAAATAGTTCTTTTATTACTTCTTTGATATTTATCTTGCCTTCTTTTTTCCTGTCTTTCTTTCTCAACTTATTAGCTAGCTATTGGTCCTCCTGCATTGATCCTCTATATCTTTTAAATTTTTTCTTGTTTCCTTTTTTGTTGTTGTTGTCCTTTGCTTTATATTCTGAGAGAGATTCAAAGATCTCTTCCTTGCTGTCTATTGATTTATTGTTACCAAATGCTTCTATATTAAATATCTTTAGTTTTTTATGAACGGTGACTTCCTTTTCATAATTCTTTGTTTAGTGCATGTGATTTTTTCATACAACCAGGTTGACCTATAAGGATCATAATTAAAACTTTATAAAAGTTACATTTGTCCACAGATTGTCTTTTTGGTTAGTAAATGTTTTCCTCTTCTTTTTCATCTTGGCCACCCATTTTGGTGTTGCTAGTTTTCATCAAATAGCTTGTAATCTCCAGTCTTCTATCTTTATTCACAATTGAGAGCCATGTTGACTGATGTAAAGAGCTGTCATGTTTCCCCCTTACTTTGCTATTATAAATAATAAATGCACAGTTACAAAGTCAGTGTAATTTTAAAAAGAGTTTTCGTTGTACTAGAAATGGACCCACTTTAACAAAATATCCCAATTTTTCTATATAAAGTGCCTGTAATATTGACTATACATAAGAGTTTTAGCCTCATCTATACAGGAAATCTTTAACATTTGGTTGATCCTACTTTGAATTATCACATTAATAAAATGCCTTACAAATCTATACTTTGAAGTTTTATTCAATAACTTTAGGGTTAAAAATACTTCATAGCTATTTTGTTCAAAATATTTTAGGGGAAATGAATTATATTTTTAAATATCAACACATTACTTTATATATAAAGGAAAACCTAGCCAGGTTTGGTGGCTCAGCCTATAATCCCATACTTTGGGAGGCCGAGGTGAGTGAATTGCATGAGCCTGCAGGTTTGAGACCCCCCCTGGGCAACTTGGCGAGACCTCATCTCTACAATAAATCAAAAAAATTAGCTGGGCGTGGTAGCACACGCCTGTAATTCCAGCTACTTGGAAGACTGAGATGAAAGGATCGCTGGAGCCCAGCAGGTCGAGGCTGCAGTGGCCGGGAGCGGTTACTGCACTCCAGTCTGGGTGACAGAGTAAGACTCCAGCTTAACCAAAAAAAAAAAAAAAGGAAAACCCATTTTGTTATAGGTGTCTATAATTTGTGACTATGATTTATTGAGTTTTACATGTGTTATGTTTTTTAAAAGACTGGTATAAATTATGTAAAATTGGCACGGACATTATAAAAATACTTGCATGACAACTGCAATCATTTACAAAATAGACACATTATGGGGAAATTGTGTATTGTTGGCAAAGAGATTATTTTACTCCTTTAAAAAAACTCATGGACTGAGTCAGCCTGTTGAAAGTTTTCATTCAAAAGATGCCAAGATCTTTTTCCATGATCTCACATTGCTACCCATTCATTTTTCACACACAGAACCTGATTCATGCTGGGGATCACAGTCACGTTACAGAGTAGATTGATCTCATCACAGTGAAGCTGTTACACTTCTTTTGGTCTTCTTTACACATTTACTCCATGCATGCTTCAAATCTGGAAAAAAACATACATACGGGCTGGGGAGACAAAAGAGCAGCAATTTCCCTGCCTTAGTCCTTGGCCCATGATGAAGTAAAAGAGCATGATATGGTGATTGGAGACAGACCTATCCCTGGCCATGGGCACTGTAGCCGACCCAAACTAATTAAGAAAGGTCCTGAATAAACTTGGGTGAGAGCCAAAATCACTTGTCCCTTCAATCAATATTTTTGATATAAAAATTAGCATTTGAGCTGAATAAAAGGGAGCACTGTTTCATGCCACTGGAAAAAAATCTTCTTTTGCTCCTTTTCTGACCTTCTGTTGTTGGATATTTTATTGATTTGTAACTGTGATAACTTCTCAGTGTGGTTCACTTGCAAATTTCAGATTTTAGCCTCTCATTTGAATCAAAGGATGAAATGAAAATTAGAATAATAGATCCTACTTTAAACCCAGGTTGGCATAGGTGTCAAACTTCTCCAAATGGGAAAAACTGGTTTCACTTGTTCTCTTATTCTTTATTGAATTACTATTCTAATATATAAAGTTTAGCTAAAATAACATTTTAAGAAAGCTAATTTGATAAGGAAGAGGATAAGTATTCCAAAAATCAAACAATCAAAAAACCCAAAAAACAAAAACAATGTATCACCTGAGTCTTGGAAGTCCTCTTCATGCACTGCTAGTCTTCAACAACTTGAATACTGTTGCCTTCCAAGATGAATCCATTATTAATCTCTACAAGTGTGCTCAAAAGATGGTGTATGTTGTTTTTAGCACAGTGGCACATGGTAAATATCTAAAAATGATTGCTTTATTATATTTCAAGACACCACAATGCCGACTTAGAAATACTTCTTAGTTTTTGATCCAGGAAATTGACATACAGGTTATGCAAACTAGCAGTTTGCATCCAGTGTCTGAGGACATAGCCTGGCTTCCTTGTGTCAACTTGAGATAACCTATAAAGGACCATCTCAGTTGTATAGGTTTCCATGAAATTGACTGAACACTAGGTGTTATACTGTTTTGTCTATGGTCCCAGTGGTGTGCTGGTAAATGTTTGACAGCCAGCTTGCTCCGTATCCCTGATTTATAATTTTGCAGTTTTCATGGTGTAAATACTCCCACTGTAGCCAATTTCAAGCTACTAAGGTGATGTTGCTGAATGAAGAGTTGGAAAGGTGCATAACTTGTTCTCAAACAGTTAAAGCCAACTCCAGCCACCCCTACCTATTTTCCCCAGTGAAATTCCTAAATGTAACTTTCCACCTCAGTCCTTTATTCAGGGTAACCTAAACTAAATCAACACAAAACTCTCAATTATTTTTTATCTGACAATTTTGGTGATTTGTTTATTGAAGAAACTAACATTTCACAGGCAGAATGTAGAATGAAGTGAAATCGGTTCTCTTAATTGTTTTAGTGAAACACATACACAAATACAAGCACACATACACTCACACACCACATACATTATGATACCTTAAGACAATGTCCTGCAATAATTTCCTGGAAACATTTAAAAGACAGACTCATTTTAATTTACTAAACATTACACAGCAGAGTAGGACATTCTGAGAGAACAGACTTCAAATATGTTGTTCTTTCTGTTTTGAGACCAGGGAAAATTGCCAAGAATTCATAAGCTGCTGTTCTTACTGCTGTTATTACAATTGTTATTATTGCTACCAATCAAAGTATATATTTGAGAGGAGAATGCTTCATCATCAGAACTTGGATTTTTAAATAAGAGTAAACCATTTATAATATTTGCTATCTCTGAAGAAAAATACAGAAGAGTATTACTTGTTTGAAGAGCTGTTAAAACTTCTACCCTACTGAAAAGCTGTTGTTGTAATAAATAAATAATCAGAGGTTGAAGGTTGTTTTTTAAAGGGTAGGAAGGGAGAAGAGAAAAAAGACATCACATTCAAAGAAACAAGATGATTTTTTTAAAAAAGAGGACATCTTATAACAAGTGATACAGAAGAGAACTGGAAAAGGAATAATTTTGCCCAAATGAATGATTATTATTCAATATTGGGTTTATTTTTGTAGAAAGAGAAGTTACTTGGAAAGTGGAAATAAAATGCCCCACTGAGGATAAAGTTTGGCCATGGAATAGATTTACTTTACTGCTATAAACATACCTAACTATCAATAGAGAATCAGAACAAGATTCTTGTTATGTTTTTAGAGTCTATCAAATCAAAATTTCCAATAATAGTTCTCAAATTTTGGCATGAATTACAATAACCTGGAAAGGCAAGTTAAAATGTAGATTCCTGGGCACTACACCTATTATGTTTCCGTGGAGATCTGGGGCCCAGGGACCTGCATTTTAACAAGATACCTAGTATATTCTGAAGCCTATGGTCTCTGTCAAATCAAAACATGCTGAAAGGAAAACTGCTGGGGGTGGGGGCGGGGACACACCTCATCAATAAGGATACCTGATCTCAAATCAGGTGAAGTGGGAACCAAAGTGAGACCCTAGCCCTGAATTGTACCCCACATCTTTAAAATATAAAAAGAAGAAAGGCAATATGGCTAAACACTTATGACATCATCATTTCATAATAAGATTATAAATGAATCTATGCCATTTTCTTGATTCGCAAATATCAAGAAATAAATATAATCTGAAAACTTTATCTTCTGCTTACTTGAAGGTCATTTTCTAGAATACCTTCCACTTATCTATCAACCAACCAGAGTCTCATCTCTATGCCTTTATACTCTTGCTTCCCCTGTAAAGGAAAAATGGGTATGTGATGGGTGTGCATAACATTATAGTTCTGTTAGAAAATTCTCTTTCCCAACAGACCTAACCAAAGAGTTTTTTTTGTTTTGATGTAGTTATCAAGACTCAATAATCCCTACTGAATTAAAATCATGGTTTTATTAACCTAGTATTAGAAAAGTTTTCTTAAAAAAATTTAAAAATCTCATTATTCACAACCATCCTCCTAACCAACCTTATTCTGTATGACACATATTCTTATGTTATCAGCTCTATGAAGTCCGGTTCCCTTCTAATGTGCTCAAGAAGCATTCTACTGGGATTACTGTGGTTCTCATACGTGGAAATTCAACATAGACTCTGACAGAAATAGGTCTTTTGTCTGACAGAAATAGGTCTTTACATTAAAGTGCAATAAATTGCCCCAGGACTCTTGCACCTTGATGAAAAAGGAGTAACCTCCTCCCATCTCCCCCATGCTGGGTGGGTAAGTAGTTTTCTATGATAAATTAGACTCAAGCTCCTCCATGAATGTAATCATGATGGACATTCCTGCTCATGAAGACACCCATCTAGGGGCTTAAACCTCATAGGGTGTGTGTGAAGGTGTGAAGATCACAGACAGATTCAGAAAGGATGGAGGGTGTTTATTACTTGCAATATCCTGCAGAAGGCCTAGATGCTTTGCTGTCTCCTTTATAGAACTCAAGGCGTTCATGCATCTTGGAAAATTAACTAGGTACAATTTCATTTAAATGCACATGTTCAAGAGATAAAACCAACATGCCTTACTTCTTTGCACATTTATGACATACAATTTTTTATTTGCACAAGTAATGCTGCACCAGTTTCACTGAGAAGAGTTGGAATTCAGTTATCAAAATTGGTCATTGGATGGGGCAACTGAATTTCAGAACCCCCTTTATTGCCTCTTTCACTAATAGGACCCCTTACAACTCTTAAACATTCATGAGGATCTTTATCATTGTGATTCACTTTGATGTACCCTCTTGGGGTTATAATGTCCCCATAAAAGACTTTCCACGCTGATCACCTTTTTCCTTTAATAAGCTTTGAGTATCAGGGCACATTGCTCCATCCGACACAGGCGCCGGCAGTGGAGTTTCTATCTCAGTGCACAGCATGAAAGCCTGGGTCCATCTGTGTCACACAAAGCCAAACCTTTCTTGAAGTGATTTGTTTACAGTGTCATTTGATGGAGTGGAATGGTCTGCAACTCATTCGAACTGTTACAGAAGCTTTGCTAAAAGGTCACCGCTGCTCTTTAGAGTTTCCAAATCTGGGCACCATCTGGGAGCTTGTTAAAGATAAGATTTTCCACGGGTTTTTTCCATACCAACTAGATCCAATTAGCAAGGGCCTACATTCCAGAGACGTTTGCATTCATATTGAGAGAGAGAGAGAGGGAATAAGAGAGTGAGAGCAAGTAAACTACAGTTAGTTGCCCCAAAGTATGCAAGGCCACCTTGCCCCAGTTCAGAGTGTATGTGCCAAGTGACAATACTATTTAATAGGTCTGAATGGGAGTGGGGGGGAGGTCAGTCTTGAAAATGTTAGATAGAATTTGCTTTTAAATGTCCTTCTTGAATCAATATGTTCTTCAAGTGTGGTCTTGGGAGTCAGTTCTAAAGGAAATTGAATCTCACCACTTACTCAAAATTCAATAAGAAAATGGCAACTTGTTCTTTAAAGAAATAAAGGCCATGCATGCTATATATTCACTATGCACGGCATCAACAAGGTTCAAGCTGACAGTTTTCGTGTAAGCCTAACATTGGCTTGTACTTGCTTTCTGCTCCTCTTCCTTATGAAACAAAAGTCTTGAATTTTCCAAACCTCAAGCCCAGTTGTAAAACTGTAGGAGACCAGCAGGAGGAAAAGGAAAGTTTCCTTCAAAGATGTCTCTAGTCACTGTTGGCCAGTTCTGCTCTCTCCCTCAAAACATTAACTATGTCTTTTGACACTTGTCTGTGGAAAAAGTCCAAATGTGACAAATGGTAGAAGCAACATGTCTTTACCCTCCTGCCTGGAACTTCCCATGATAGGTGAGTTCTAGCTGATACTTTTATGGGTAGAACAGGGAAGGTATCTGTTGTCTACCACACTTGCCCACATCTCAAGATAATAAGTAAACACATAGTGAAATTGCTGAATTAAAAGTCAAAATCCTCTCATTTGGTTGAAACCCCTCAAAGTGTCTGGACCAAAGAGGCTGCAACAGTAGCAGCTAAAACATAGGCTCATTGCCATTAAAAATATGTTAAGAAGTGTGTGTGTATGTGTGTGTGTGTGTGTGTGTGTGTGTGTGTCTATTTCTAGCAGAAAACTTGGGAGAGGAGAGATTTAAATCTGAAATTGTATTTTTGTCTCTGCAGTCCTGAGTTGGAGACATTAAAACACAACAATGTCTCCCTCAGTTCAATTAAGTTGGTCTGGAAACCAAAATCGTCTTTAGGAAGAAGTAGAAATCCATTTATATTCCTTCTGAGGCAAGGAGGGAGGTCTTTCTGGCAAAGTCTTTATGCTTCATTCAGGACCAGGAAACTTAATCTTTGAGTTCAAAGCTCGTCTCATTGTACAGCTTGGGATGCACTGACTTCCTGTGCCGGGAATATTTCAGTTGTAGGAGATCACCCATTTCATCAAGGGCTTCCAAAACCTGCAATGAGATTGCCTTCCATCAACTATCTTTAAACACTTAAGTGGCCCTGCTTTGTAGAGCCCAGGTTAATAGTAAGCCTCACAAAGACCCACAGTCTAATTTTGTCAGCTTCTTTGATTTTAAAGAAAAGGAGCAAGATCCATATCATTAGGTTGTGGTTTGTAAGCCCTAGAGGAATGCTAGATGCTAATTCATTTTATTTAATGGTCTGACTCCACATTCTGAATGTTTATTTTATTTTGGGAGTGTGAGGAGAGGAATAAAAACATCTGACCCATGCTTACCCTTTAAGGTTTTATTTTAAAATGTAATGACTTATATATAGCCCTGTGGAAGAAAAAGGTGAGGTTGCAGAATGCATTTGAGGTTATGTCTTCAAGACACAGCAAACCAAGTTGACTAAGAATAAAATGGAACATTGTGGGAGCTGATTAGCTTCATTCTCTAACCTTCCATGTTTTACTCTCTCCCTGACCCCAGCTTTTAAATTTTCATCTTCATGCCCCATGGAATAAAAGAACTTAAACTCACATGGGGCTGAGGACTTAGTTCAATTCTCTTACTTTAGGTGCGTAAATGTATCCTCAATTTTACAAATGAAACAACTGAGATCCAGGAAATAAAAAAAAATCATTTTAATTTCTAATGTATCACTAATCCTATGGTATTGGGCATGCCTTTTTAATCCTTCTGAGCCCATTTTTCTTAACCTGTCAAAAGAGAAGGAAGGCAATATTAGGGTCTAATGCTTTGAAAAGGTAAAGTGAGGACTGTCGGCAGTAGAATGGCTAACAAATGGGGCTTGTGGACTTTCCTCTTTGGGAAGGCTTTCAAATTAATGTCAATTAAGATATCTTTCAATATGTTAAGAGTAATTTATTTCTTGATAATAGGGTTATAGGTATTTAAAATGTTTCTCCTCGTTTTTCCAAACTTCCTAGATCAAATCTGAATACTGGGAAAAAATATTTGCCAACTGTATGCCTGACAAAGGCCTAACATCTAGGATCTACAAGGAACTCAAAAGTACCAAAAAGAAAAAAACAAACAGCCCCACTACAAAGTGGGCAAAATATATGAATAGACACTTCTCAAAAGAAAACACATGAGCAGCCAACAGATACATGAACAAATGCTCAGTTTCACTAGTCACCAAAGAAATATAAATTAAAACTATGTTGAGCCGGGCTCAGTGGCTCAGCCTGTAATCCTGCTCCTTTGGGAGGCTGAGGTGAGTGGATTGCCTGAGCCCGCGGGTTTGAGACCCGCCTCTCTACAATAAATCAAAAATCAGCTGGGTGTGGTAGCACATGCCTGTAATTCTGGCTCCTTGGAAGGCTGAGGCGGAAGGATCGCTGGAGCCCAGCAGGTTGAGGCTGCGGTGGCCGGGAGCGGCCACTGCACTCCAGTCTGGGCGACAGAGTAAGACTCCAACTCAAAAAAATAAGTAAATAAAATAAAACTATGTTGAGATATCACCTAACTCCAGTCGGGTTGACCATCATCAATAACTCAAAAAACAACAGATGCTAGAGAGGATGCGGGGAAAAGGGAACATTTCTACATGGTTGGTGGGAGTTTACACTAAAAAACAGTGTGATGATGCCTAAAATATCTAAAAATCAACCTTCCATATGACTTCGCAATCCCCCTACTTGGAATATACCCAGAGAAACTCAGATCACTCTATGAAAAAGATACCTGCACATGTATATTTATTGCAGTATTATTTACAATAGCAAAAATGTGGAACCAACTGTGCTGTCCATCAAAAGAGAACTGGATAAAGAAAATGTGGTAATATACCCAATGGAATATTATGCAGCCATAAAGAAGGACAAAATTATGAACTTCACAGCAACTTGGATGTATTTAGAGTCTACAATACTGATTGATCTATCACAGAAACAAAGAACTGAGTATCACATGTTTTACTCATAAGTAGACCTTGAACAATAATTGTAATACTATAAGAAAAGGATTGGCAGTAGCGGAAACTGCTGGGGGTGGGGGAGGTGGGATTGGCAGTAGTGGAAATCTGCGGCGGGGGGTACACCTCATCAACAAGGGCACCTGCATAATAAACATTTGTATATCTAACCCTGAATTGTACTCCACATCTTTAAAATAAAAAAAAGAAAAAGCAACAAAAGTTATTTGTTTAAACGACTTTGTTTTATTAAAGATATGTAGAGTACAAGTCAGGATTTGGTACATAAGTAGTCTACCTGCAGGTGAAGTTTGGGTCTCCAACTGGTCCTCATTACCCTGCTTTAAGATCAGGTACCCTTTGTGTTTTTATGTCCCCTTCCCCCTCCCTCCTTCCCTCCCTTGGCTGTGTTCAGAGACTGCTGATCCTTCCGTTGTGCTATTGTGATTAATGTCCAGGTCTCACTTATGAGTGATATCATGAGGTATTCAGTTCTTTATTTCTGTGATAGGTCACTAAAGTATGATTGTTTCCAGCTCCACACAATTTATTGTGAAATCCATGATTTTGTCCTTCAAAAGTTATCTTTTTAATGGCATTTATCTGGGATAGTTTCTGTTGATCCCTGCTGAAGTTAGGTGATAGCTCGGTGGCTTCCAAAATGAAGGACCTGCACACATGGGCATCTGTTAGACAATTCATGGAGCATGTGTGAGGAACACACTCAGATTTCTATTCATTTTTATCTCAACATTTTTTAGCATCTATTTGTGTAGCTCTTACACAATGCACATAATATATTGGTAATGCATCTATCATTTATAGATGCATTTATGTTAGAGTCCCCTGATCAAAGAACATCCAAACACATTTGTACTCTATTTTAGGTTTCTTTGTCTTGCTCAGGATGGGAGAGTGCACACTCCAGAAATATGGAAATCTTAGTGACAGGAAGTTGAGAAGGGCTGCTCACTGCCTTTGGACTTGTACCTGAAATGACCTCAAGGAAGCAGGGACCAGTCCTGTGTTGTATGCTGTCAAGAAGTAGATCAGTTCACTGGTTGGTTATATATTTATAATTTTCATCTGGAAGGTGAGAGAATTAAAGCAAGGCTAGACTTGTCATTGGTTAAGGAGCAGATGTCATATGTGTTAGTCAGAAGAGGGAGACATTAAGTGTTGTAGAATGACCTTATTTCTGTCTTGTCTAAGACATGGCCATGGAGTGCACTTGTCTATTAGTCATTCTGTGAACCTTTATGTTCAGTTGCTACCTTAACGCCTTGACTGTTCAACAAGGTCACTTTTCACTTTTTCTTGTGAGTACATTAAGAAATTGCTCAAAATTTTTGATTGAGTGAGTGCATGATCTCCAAAGTGGGATTCATTTAGATGATGTGTTGGTGCTCCTTTCAGATGAGGTATTTTGTAGCAATTAAGAACTTTTGACAGGTGGGGGTAGTGGGTACACTTAAGGACCAAACTTCTTTGCGACTATCCAATGCCACCATGTAAACAAAAACTATGTGTACCCCCTAAGGTTATTTAAAAAAGGAAAAAGAAATAAAATAAAGAAGAACTTGTGAAGAGAATCACAAGCTCTGACACCTACAGAATTGGGTACACATGAGGACCTCACGGGTGTCTGGACCACAAAATTACAGTTTCATCCATGCTGTTCATCCCTCCTTCTATCTCTAGGAGCTTGCTCCCTGGCTGTTGTCTGCCTGTTTCCCTTCCCTGTAGTACCCACTTTCATAGTCTTCTTCCCTTGATGTGTAAACATGCTCAAAATATGAAAGGGTATAAAGAGCAACAATAAAGTTCACCCATCTTCTCAAAACCTAGTTAGCTCAGTTGTTAAGGTGTTATGCAAAAAGTTTTTATTCTGTACCTACTGTGTACTATACACTGGTTTAACTTCAGAGGCTATAAGGCAAAGATGAAAGACGTGGTCACTCTGTGTGTGTGTGTTTGTGATTTAAGTTCAAAGTATTCTCTTCACTTTTTTATTCTTTGTATTCTTATTTCTGTTTCTTGCACTCTCGTAAAACTGCCTACTCCAAGGAACATCAAGCGCCTACTAATTGCTAATTCAATAGTTTTCTCTCATCTCTCACTGCATTTGAACTTGCTGCAATTTGCAGGGCCATTTTAATTCTCTTCCTTCTTGAATTTCTCCTCTTTACTGCATTTAACACTACACTAGACCATGTCTTTTCCAATGGCTCTAGCTTTGTTTCAGTCTAGATCCTGCCTGTGATTCCTATATCCATCCTGGGATGCAGGTATTCAGCAGGAGCATGCCCTTGACCTGTTCACTCTTGCTTGTATCTGGACAATTACATCTTCTACCATTGGCTTTAATGGTCCTTCAGTTCCCTAAACTACAGCAGCTCTAGCTTTGCATACTCTGATCTTTTTCTTCCATAAATGGCCCATGGACTTGTAGTCTCAACATGTCTAGAATTGAGCTCATTTTATTCCCCTGCTCCTACTGAAGGTTTACTGTTCCTTACTGTATACTTTATCTCATTTAATGCTTAGCCATCTTCCTATTCTCCAGGGCTAAAGACCCTAAATTATCTTTGATTCCCTCCTTCCACACATACATTGAACCCAATCAATCCTCTGCCAAGTCATGACACCTCCACACATTTATAATGTCTGTTCATGGATTCTTTTTTGGGTTTTCACTGGCACTGGCCTTGTCATCTTCTTTTGTTTAATAGCTCCATTTTAGGTACCTTCCTCTTGCCTCTTTCCTCTTCATTCCATTTGTTATATTTATTTAGTGGTGACTAATAATGTCATGACAATGACATAACTGTTGTCACTCCACTGGTCAGAAACCTTGAAGGATGCTACATACCTCTATTTAAAAAGGTCTAGTTCAAAAGCCACCTCCCACGTGAATCATAAAAATTCATTTCTGCTTTTATGCCCCCACAGTTTTCTGTATTTCTTTTCAAAGATTAATTTATTCCATCTGGTGTTATCATTAGTTGCTTGTTTATTACTATGTTCTCCTAGACTTGTTGCTGCAGGGTTTGCATGTAGTAAACTCTCAAGAGTGTTTGCAAAACTGTATTGATAATGTGACTTCAAACTGATTAAGATGGCTTAGTTCTCTGGCGTTACTCATTCACATAATCAGCAAGGGTACCTGCATAATGAACATCTGTATACCTAACCCTGAATTGTACTCCACATCCTTAAAATTAAAAATTAAAAAAGAAATTGAAAGCAAGGGACAATAAAATGCAGTTTTAAAATTATTTTCACATCACATAGGTCTGGCTGATATAATATAGATCTGTTCTTGTTGGTTTTTTTATAATATAATATAAACTTCTTTCAAATATAATATAATATAATACGTTGCTTAGTTGGGTCTTATTTTATTAGGCAGATTTGGTGGCTATGAAAAATGTGAGGATATGGGTTGTTGAGGCTAAAATAGCACTTTAAATCTGCATTTGCATTTAAGAACAAGTAAACAGCATAACACTTGGTTATTCAATCAGACTATCTATGAAACCAAAATACTCATTTAAGTCTTCACTAAACTGATTTTCTTGACTATCTACTGAGTGAATCACATGTTTGGTCACTGTTGAATACCCTTATTTTTCAGGAGTGACTTTCATTAGTTTTGTTTTCTTAAACATCCCAAGAAAAACCCAGAGTACCTCAAGCTGTCTCAATAAAAGGACTTGCTCCAAATCCATGGTACTAATACTAAAGTTCCCATCAGCCTGTGACATACTCACCGTGTCTAACATCTCCCGGGTGTGTGCCGCTGAAACACAAAACCGAGCCCGAGCTTCTGCGAGGGGAGTAGCTGGAAATCCCACGACCACTACTCCAATTTTTTTCTCTAGCAAATGTCTTGCAAAAGCCCTTAGGGAAAATAAAAAATATATACAGTCAGCTAAGAAAAGACAAAGTTATCCTGTCCCCCCCCAAAGGAATATGACGAATTGACTTGAAAAAAAAAAACCTTTTATGATAATAATTAGAAGATGATTAAGGTTATTAAACTTCTATCAAATATAATTAACAAAGCTGAGCAGTCAGACAGCTGGTGCCACCCATAACTGAGTGTGTGTGTGGTATTATGGGCCTGACACACACACTCATTAGATAAGTAGAGATACTGGTCATTGACACTGAGCAGAAAATGCTGATGTATATGACTCTGGTTTAACAAGTCTGCATTAGTGTAAAAATCCTTCATCTGCAGGGTTCCTAGGAATAAAAACCAAACAGCAAATATAATACATTTGCAAAAACGAAAGAATATATATTAAATATAAACCTAAAATAGAATATATATTTTTAAAACATAATACCAATAATATAATATGATATGTGAATTTCAGAAAGTCAATCCTTCGTGTAATTTGAAGTCCGGGACCAGAGTGTCTGTAGGCTCCAACTCCAAGCCAATATTCTTACGCAAGGGTCAAAGATGATATTTTCCATCAAATTAGAAGTAAGAAATGGCATAGACCTCCTCATCTTTAATGTGTGAATGAACATACCCAGGTATGCAAAGGGATAATAAGCCCACTGACTGGACTAAGGGAGAATGGGACAGGAGAGAGAGGGAGAAAAAGGTGTGCACACACAGAGAAACTGGCAGGTCTGTGCATCCTGAAGGACGACTCATAAGTCATCAAAACTCTTTGAGGCAGGCTAAAATCTTTATAAGCTATGATTCCCTCCATTCATCCTTCTAGTCTTTCTTTTTCAGAGCTAATCTCAGTCATGATTCTAGAATATGAAGCTCAAACTCTAAATTTCCTGTGCTGAGAGCCAAGGTCAGATTAAAAGGCACGTCCTCCCAAGTGGCTCTTTCCCCCACTTTGGGCTCTGTTACTCTTTGCTGGAAACCTGCATTCCTTATGGGTGGCTTTATCCCTAAGTCAGGTAAATGCCTAAGATCTGTTCTTAGCATTAAGAAGTTGCTGGTGTGTTATTTTAGGCTGGAAACTGACAGCACCAGAGAAACCTTCCAGCTATAACTCAGGAAGAATTCTTGAACCAGACGTGGAGAGTAAGCCTGCTCATCCATTCGTTTGTTTTTACTGTTTAGCAGTCTACCTTTCGGTTGCTTTAGGCAGAATGTAGGTTATTAAATGAAGTAGCGGAGACTTTGAGACCTATAAGACACACAGTCTTTCTGGCCCCCTGGCTTGGGCAAGGCAAGATTTGTCCTTTGATTTTGATTGGGAAGGTTTTAAGGAGCTAAAGCTTTCTAGCTGAGAAAGCCTGAAAACAGAAACTGTTCTTTCTCTTTCTTGATCACCCTATGGAAGGCTGCCCACGGAACTGCACAGAATGAGAGCTCATAATTGTCTGAGAACCAAGTCAAGTGCTTTTATTGCTAAAGTACAAACCACCTGACCCATGATCTCAGGCCAGTTTTTGGGACTCCCAGAAGACCATTTTCACTGTCTGCATGTTTCTCTTTGTACCAAAGGAAGCGCGTTTTGCCAAAGAATGTAGAGCAAAATATATGAGTCTGTTGATTCATTAGGCTAATCTGGGGCCTCCCTGGAGCACTTCTGAGTTTAAAACTTACACTACTAAAGCTAGTGTCCTTAAGTTAGTGTATGTGATTGCACTGAACATTTTATATAATGAGCCTCTGTGTTTGTACTCCCCAAAGCAAATTTGAGCTGGCATAGGCCAAAAGAAACTGAACTATGTGAAATAATAGTAGTAAAAAAGCACTGCGTTGCACGTAGTATCACCACACCTTATGTATCACCATCTTCCAAGTGTATGATTTAGACAGTGGAAGGAAAATGAAAACCCCGTACCAAGCAGTAAACACAGCACATGCTTTGTGATTTAAGTGTACATTTAACAGGTGAAAGTACATTATACTGAAGTCTAGAGAGGATCCTAGTGGTAGAGTTGTAACAGGATTTTCTCAAAAGAATAACTGACTAGAGATTATGTTTTCATTCTTCATAGATGGAAATGTGGAGAAATCATCATTTTTTAATAAAATCAAAGAATTTTAAATGAGCAAATGAAAGAAGTGCTTCCACATTGCTTATACAATTAACTCCCTGATTCAAAAGCTTCTCTACATATAAACTTTCAGTGGAGGAAATATCACAGAAGAAAACAAAGCCAGGCAGCAGGGCAAGCTCTTGCCAGCAACTCTTGCCAGTAATAGATATTACCTTTCATAACTAACCTGTTCTTGGTTTCCTTAGACTACCCAAATAATTAGATTTTTTTTCTATCATAGTGATTGATGCCTTTTGTATCACCAAAGATGACATTAAAGAGTTAAATTAACACTCTGTGTTGCTTGAATGAGATGTGTACTTCTTTTTTATCCAGTGGACTAAAGATTGAGAGGCTGTACTGTGTGTTCAAAGTCACTCTGGTATAGGAGGCAAATGGAATTGGCTTTGAATTCTAACCTCATCTTTTAAAATCTTCACAGTGACCTTATGAAGCAGATGCTATTACATCTCATGTTGTAAATGAGAAAACTGGCAGAGTCAAAATTCTTTTTGATTCCAAACTTCTTACTATACCCCAGAACAACTTTTATGTGAAGCATATTGTATAAATGAATTATTGGATTTAAATATATTTGTTTTTACTATTCATGAACTCTTCTCTTTGGGTTGGTTCACTTTTCCAACTTGTTGATATTCTAATTCCAGCTTCCATTCTCAAAGCTGAACTACTCAGCCACTCCCTACTGCTACTGGAATGCTCTAGCATTGTTCACTTTACACCTTAGGTAGTTTATTTTTGGTGACTTCTTTTGAGCTAATGATAAAGTATTAGTTAGACTTGAGCTAAACTTGGAATCTTTCTTCTAGAACATACCATTTCCCCAATCATTTTGAATAAATGTGGGTTGTTTCTTTTTGGTGTGTGTGTACATGTATGGTTTCCAAAATCAGATGGTAGAGGGTTTTGGATTATCCACTACTTTGAACCACCATTGTCACTCCTTCCTGCCACTAGCACAGAGCAGTATGGTGTGTAACATTTCTGTAGTATGCGCTCTCCTTGGACACCCTATGCATTGTTTTCCTGATCCAGATCTATGTATGAAATGTCAACTGGTGGTAATGGTGTAGCATGTTAAAAAACTCATGCTTGAGCAAAACAACTGCTTATTGCTTTGCTGTGGTGAGATGACCCAAGAGCGTACTCTGAAGAATAAGTCTTTCAGGAACTGATAACTCAGTCCTACCCTTCGTGAGTTCCCAACTACTAGGCTGCAAACCTCTGTTATTGGTGCTTTTCTATACTTCACATACTATACCAATCTTTTCAGACTATTCAAGAGTCAAGCAGAAAGTTCCAGCAATAGATAATGTTGGAGGGGAGTTAGGACCCTTAGAATATGATGCATATTATGCAAAATATTCATTTCTGTTATGTGCTTGGTCAGAGACATGGATAAACATTTTACCTTTAACTAAGGATTCCTCTTCATTTCCTTTAAATAATGGAAGCAATCAGTCACTAGCAGGTTGGGGAATGGCTCATGTGTAAAATTGCCCATGCCACACTAAGAGAAAGACATTTTTGTTTATGCAGTTGTTGCTAATGCTCAGTTTCAGAGCTTCAATCAATGAAAAATAACCTCAAATAGGCTTACAATAGAGGCATTAAAAATAGAGCATGAGCTGTGATATGAGCCATGGTTTGGGTCTTTTGCAACTTTGTTTTATTGCTGTTTGACCTATATGACTTTGGGCAAGTTGTTTTACTACTCTCAGCCTCAGTTTCTCCACATGTAAGTGAGAATGTCCTCTTCTGAGGATGGCTGCAGAGTGCAAAAGGAGAAAGCACAGAGTCTGGTAACATTGTTTTTATGGTAATATTGGGGGGGGATGGTCTTCAGAGATTCTCCCTGAGAATTATTTTGGGTCACAAGGAGGCTCAGGATCATCCTTAATTTATAGCCAAGAGAGATAAATTATTTCCCTAAATTCACAAAGCTTGAGTTTAGGAAGAGAGGTGGGTCTTATCCCCTGGTTCCTTTCCTATAAAACCTGCAGAAGAGGCTCAACTGATTGGCTAGCAGGTGGCTTCTGAGAAGCTGTACAAGTGAGTTCTGAACTCAATCACCTCATTCCAAGTGCACAATCTAATGCCTGTGCCAGAAAAAGCCTCCATAGTGTAAAAAGCCCCATTTTAGGTCACCTGGTGGTTTAGATACGGTTCTGAGAGTCTTTGGATACTTACGCTACTTTACCAGGCATGTAAAGGAGCAGCGGAACAATGGAAGAATTTTCATTGCCATAGATAATGAATCCCATTTCTCTCAGTCTCTGTCTGAAGTATCTTGTGTTTTTTGCAAGTTGCTGTACTCTCTGCAACCCTGAAAAGAGACAGGCATGAAATCCATCCATTCCCACTGGGAAGAGAAAAGCAAAGGTCAGGTCAACTTGGCAAGCGTCTGTAAGTCTTTCTGCAGGCCTGTATAGGTAGCTGAGAGGGGAGTCAAAAGAGGGTAGGGAAATAGGTATCTGGGGAGCAGGTGTGGGCAGTGGTGCTCAAGAACTTCCTTGAGCCTGGAAGGCAGGAATGAGGGGAGAATGATGCTACTGGATTCTGCAAGCAGTTAAAGCCAGGCTAGGGTGCAGGACCAATGGGAGGGAGGGAGGTACCTATTTGGTATGAACTCTGTGCTAAGTGCCTTGAAAACATTAATTCAGGAGAAGGGAGTGTGACAAGAAGAAACACACACACACACACACACACACACACACACACACACTCTCTCTCTCTCTCTCTCTCTCTCTCTCTCTCTCTCTCTCTCTAATTGTTGGTCATTGCTTTTTAACCAAGCTGAGCTGGTCTATTAAATTGCCCCCAATCTAAAGTCTCTAATCACAGGATACTCCATCCAACCTGAATTTTGGGGAGTAGCACATTCCTAGACAAAGATAGGTCCCACAGAAATTAGGACTGTTTTTGAGGTATTTGTTGATGGTAGAGTAATAGAAAGGAGGGAAGAGGGGGGGATCTTTGCTTTCCTTAGCCAGAAAAAAAAGATATTGGCCAAAAACCAGAAGGACAAAGTTCATTTATCCATATCGAGGCTATTGGTCCTTCAGCTCACAAGCTTATCCTCTGTCCTCAGTGTGTGTCCCAGTGCAGAGATCACACATGTGAGATGACAAAGGGAATTAAAGAGCAGAAAGAGTCCTATTCTAAAAACACCTGTCTTCTCTAGTCCTGCCTCAAAGTAGGTAGGTAAGTAAACCAGCTGAGACTAGGTAGTGTTTGCTCAATAAGAATGAAAAGGATCAGACATTTGTGTCACTTAGAAATTATCCCAAAGTTTGCACTTGATACAGGTTTGCTATTCAGCAGAAATGTGCTGCCACAGTCTTACAGATTGTCTTTAGCTGACCTCCATTCTGATTGGTTAGATGTTCATCAAACTGGTCAAAGATCCTGCTCTAGAGGTTGTTCAATATTTTGAACATCACTCATGAGTGTTCATAACTCTCCAGATGGAAAAAAGGTAAAAATTTCAGTGAACATGTCAATCATTGTCATCGGGCCCCTTCTTGGAGACATGACCCTATATGTACCTTGGCAAAGGTTGAGTAGAAGGCATTTTCTGCTCACCTTCCTTTATCCAGGGAACTATAATGTTTGGGGAGAGCTGGCCCTGCATTACTCTTTTCTGCAAGGGCACATGAAGCCCAGGCTTGACCATTTGGAATAGTCTATCCCCTTGATTATTGATTCAGTGATGGTGCACAATATGGGACTATTTGAATCTTTCTTTCAGATCCATTGAGAAAGAAGTATAAAGGTGAAATACTCCTCAAGCTACATCTTTCCCATCACACAGAGGAAGCTTGCTTGAGAATGAAGTTAACTTAGACAAAGAGCCAAGGCATAAGACAGCAAGAGTTCTGATGGCATCGTCTGAACCCTGGGATCCAGCCAAGCCTAAATTATGCCATTTATTAAACCAACAAATTTCCTTTTCTGCCATCTACAACCTAATGTGTCCTGAGTAATACAGATGGCCACTAATTAGGTCAGGTGATCTCTAAAGTGAAATAATAATATCAACAACAACAACAACAAGTAGCTTACCCATCTGTAATATTTATGAACTAATTTAGTCCTCACAACAACCATATTGATGTAGATACTGTAATCCTATCTTCCACCAAGGAAAAGCCAAGTAACTCACCCAAATTCACACAGTTGGGAAGCAGTTGAGCCAAAATTTGACCCAGGCATTGGGTTCTACAATCTGTGCTGTTAGTCTCTTCACTATAGTACTTTGTCCAGGTATTGGATGGTGGCCACCTCTTTTCTTCAAGATCAACAAAACTCTCAACTCTGCCAACTGTTTGGACCATAATTATACCAATATTTTCATATAGTAGTAGTTGAGAGGTTGAAGGCTGAGCAAGTGTTTGATAGCCTCATGTTATAAGCAGCTGGGTAGGGAATCAAGGCTTAGAGTCTAGAGACTGCTTCACTTTGGATGGGGGGCCTGAAAGGCTGCACCCAAAGAGTAAGGGTGAACCAAGAGTAGACAAGCCCCCCAAAGAAACTTCCTTTATCCAGTCATCTGACTTTTTTTTCTTTTACTACTCCCCATCACTCCCCAAATACTTTAGATCTTCCTTTAAATTTTTCTTTGCTCATCAGTTCAAATGAACTTAACCTCTGTGACATCTTAATTGTGCTAACAATATAGTATATGCAGAGAAATGAAAACTTAGTTGAGTGGAACACCAACCAAGAAGCAGGAGGTTAAACACCTCAATTGTCCATGCTTGTTTTCTGTTACTTTCCTTCACCCAACCCCAGTTCTCAAGGAAGATCCCTCCTAACTCTTCCAGCTTCCAGAAAGCAGGTTGTGATGGAGACAACACCTGGTTTATTGTTCTTCTCAGGGGACCTGACCTCTCAATTCTACTTTCCTGGTCTTAGCCAATGAATGGAGGATGCCCTTGACCCAAGGGCAGTCCATTTGGGTGTTGGCTAGGATCCATAAATCAGTCTGTCATAGGAACTTTGGCAGAGAGATGATAATATGAATTAAATCAATCACATCCTCTTGCTGTTACAGTGTGGATGTGAAAAATTTAGAGAGAATGATAGTAAATTTTAAAGTTGGTAGTAAAAGTAGAAATTGAAAGACATATAAAGAAAGACTTATTAGCAGAATTTATGAGACAGAGTAAGCCATTGGTTGATAGAAGCTGTGGCAACCTATGAACAAGAGAGGTAGGCAGTGCAAAGCTAGTAACAATTAGAAGAATAAGATATAAAAACAGAGATAAGCTTAGTCTAGTAAGGGAGACTGATGTTAACCAAATAATTACACAAATAGAAATATTATGTGGTGCTATGAGAGTTCACATTAGGGTGATTGTACCATATCTGAGAAGGTCAATAAATGATGAATTAACAAAGATATGAAGGATAAGCAATATATATATATATATATATATTGCATAGAGACAGCTTGCTTGGTGCTTAAAAAACATGCTGAAGTGTCTCCTGGAAACTTGTCTGTGTATAGAAAGCAGACTATTGGAAGTGCACAACTAGAAATTAGAAAAAAGAAATAGTCACCTTACTTTGAAAAAAAGTTCATCCATAACATGAAAATATGTATTTAGAAAGATAAAAATAGGGTGTAGGGGGAAGATTTGGACAAAAGGAAAAGAAAAGAGGGTTGTGGTAAGGCTTGTTTTAAAGGTGGCTGAAATGAAGGCACAGAGATGCATCCTAGCCACCAAAATGTATTCCATATGGCCCGTCCCCTTGTGCATTCAGCTCTTTTGTTGGTCATTAGCTGCACAATGAACAGATGACTTCATCGGCCTGGGCCTGATGATTCCTAACATGTTCCCCCTCAAAGACTAGAAGGATTTCCTGGCCTGGAAATGCATGAATGACTTAAATTACTTTTCCCAATGGCATTATCTTTGCACTTGCCTATAATGATTCATCTATCACTGGACTACCCAGCTACTTAATTGGCCCCGTCTGTCCCTTCTGCCATGATTAATCCAAGAAACTGGGTCATTGGCTAATGTCACCACTTCACTACTTCTAGATCTTTCAGAGCCTTGACCGAAGAGATCATAAGTATCAATTTTAGGGGTATCTGATCCCTAAGAGCTGAATGTTTTATTCTAGCCCTGTCTTTGAACCATTTAGCACAACATGGCTGACAATCCTTTATGATACAGTTTGTGGTCACCATGCTTTCTCATATAGGTCACTATAAATGCCTTTGAGGTCTTTTGCATTTGCCAAGATACAGCTCCTTTCAATTACTCTACTGCTCACTCTTTAAAATTGGAAACATTCTTATACCCTTGGATGGCCTGGGGGCAGAGAGGAATTTGTACATATAAAATGCTACTCATCTAAACAGGATGTGACTGATTTTATTAATTATATTGTGCTTTGAGATCCTTGCCTGAAGAGAGCTCTGTAAAAGTAGAAGAGATATTAGGCACGTGTCTGTTTTTGTAGGGACAGCCAGGCTAGGCTGGCAAAGGAACACTTTAAAGATTGGGAATGGAGGCCATATCCCCTTCAAAACACTCAAAGTCTCTAATTAAATAGTTCCTAATCCTTCTTCCACATTTTCATGGAAGACAGGGGAAGTCCCTACTAAGATAAATAAGTGAGGGAGACAATCTCTTACATAGCCTTCTGGAGAGTTTACACACGTGTTTATTTTGTCATATTCTGAGTTCTCTAAGGATGCTGTGAAGTGGAAAAAATAGGCTTTGTAGTTAAATTAACTAAGAATCAAAGTCTACCTGAACAGCTTAAAACCTCAGTTTTATATATAAATTAGAGATAAGCTTATCTTACAGGAAAATTCAGAGAAATAAAGAGGTTAATGCAGAAAAAGTGTTTAGAACCGTAACTGGCATCCAGTAGATACTTGAAAAGATAACTACCCTTTTCCATAGGGCATCAGTTCTTAGTAGCCTCAATGGCACATCAGAATCTAGACAGCTTGGCAGAATCCCATGCTCAGGCTGCACCCCAGCCCATTAAATTAGAACCTCTAGGGATGGGACCTGGCATGAATTTTGGTTTTCACAAGGTGCAGCCTAGCAGACTTGGTAGATGTCTCAGAAATAGCTACTGTTTCCTGTCCACCCCTAGAACCGTGCCTGCCCTGGGTAGGTGTCTGACTATGTCCTGGCTGAACTGTGCTCCATGGCTGTATATGGAAAATAAAAGATGGGTATATGTGGTGGCCTCTTGTTTGACATATTTGAACCTCCCAGGAGTTTTTAAGAGTTCAGGTTCTCAGAAAGTACCTTTTATGGGGATAACCTGCTCCCCTGACAGCTACCTGCTCCA